CTTCCACTTTTGACACGTAGCAGAAACATAGAAATACCTGCCACTCCAAGCAGATATCCCCACCCTGTTGGCTTTGGAATGGTTTCTACCTGATTCTTAATCATTGTGTTCCTTCTCAGAATAGCCAGAATTCATGCAGCCAAAGACGCCTTAATCTTAAGGGGGAGTAGAAAGCACAAAAGCAAAATATATCAGTATTTTTTTTTTTATTTAAGCTCTGAGATCCCCAGCCCGTGCTCTGGGTTCTGTGGTTGCCGCATGATGAACACTTTAGCTAGTGGAGCTGTTTTCCGCCTAGTTCGGTTGGGCTCTTGGTTTTCGAGATGGCTTCTGCTCTACAATAACGCTGCTTCTTTTTAAGGTATTCGATTTACGCCAGTGTCACCGCCAAATGCAACAGCAGGCTGCTACAGCGCAAGCCGCAGCTGCTGCTCAGGCTGCCGCCGTGGCAGGGAACATCCCTGGGCCAGGATCTGTCGGAGGAATTGCTCCAGCGATCAGTAAGTGAAATCTTTCATCCCTCCGTATATTTTCAAATGCTTTCACTGGGAAAAAGAAAATTCAGTATATCACACATTCCCAAAGCAAAAAAATCATGCATTTCTGGTAGTTTAGAATCCAATCTGCATTTTTAGTTTCCAGGTGTATGTGCCAGTTAGAATTTAAAACTGCTCATCTGTGTTTTTTTCTCTTATTTGCTCAGCACACTTATCTTCAGATGTGATAAACTAGGTACAGATAGTTCTCGACTTAGAACCAGTCGCTTAGTGACTGTTCGGAGTTCTAATGGATCTACTTGGGAGGGTGGGGGGATACTTACAACCCAGAGTTCTAACAGTTGTGCCCCCCCCCCAACCACCCCCACATGCACGGTCACAAGATTTCATAAGGCGCACCACACTTATGGCTATTTGCAGCATCCTGTGGTCACATAACTGGTTTTTAATGGAAGTGGTTTATTTAACCACAACAAAAATGGTTCAAAATTGGCTCAGTTACATGCCTGACACCGCTCTACAACCGTCACAACTTCACAATTGTAATGAGCAAGCTTCATTACAGTTGAAACTGTAGGATTATTGTATAACTTCACTCAATTATCATTATGATTAGTCAAACCATGATTTGGAAAGCAGTCTCAGATCTCCAATCATAAACTTCTTTTGTCAAGTCAGACCCCATCTTCACATTTAATCGGCCCTAATTGCACTTTTTTTGAGAAGAATTGTTTCCCTCTTTTTCACTGGAGAACCCTCGTCTCTTTCCAACAACACATGGCCAGGAGAAGTCGGTGGAATTTCTGGGCTTTGTGAAAGCATTTGAAGATATATTTTTTTTGCCCCCTCATTGGCACCAAGTGGGTGTTGCAACTCTTAAGGAGTGATTCGAACTTTTAAAGCAGGAATCAGGAGATGCAGCTGAAACGAAGCAGTAACTCTTTCTGTCTTGATGGAATTTTTAGTCAGAACTTTTTTTTAATTAAAAGAATAATTTCTTTTACATGGAGAGTGCAATGAGGAACTTCCTTTT